AGAAGGAAAGAAGGAAAGAAGGAAAGAAAGAAAGAAAGAAAGAAAGAAAGAAAGAAAGAAAGAAAGAAAGAAAGAAAGAAAGAAAGAAAGAAAGAAAGAAAGAAAGAAAGAAAGAAAGAAAGAAAGAAAGAAAGAAAGAAAGAAAGAAAGAAAGAAAGAAAGAAAGAAAGAAAGAAAGAAAGAAAGAAAGAAAGAAAGAAAGAAAAGAAGCAAGAAAGCAAGAAAGAAAGAAAGCAAGAAAGAAAGCAAGCAAGAAAGAAAGAAAGAAAGAGAGAAAGAAAGAAAGAGAGAAAGAAAGAGAGAAAGAAAGCGAGAAAGAAAGAAAGAAAGCGAGAAAGAGAGAAAGAAAGAAAGCGAGAAAGAAAGAAAGCGAGAAAGAAAGAAAGCGAGAAAGAAAGCAGGAAAGCAAGAAAGCAAGAAAGCAAGAAAGCAAGAAAGCAAGCAAGAAAGAAAGAAAGAAAGAAAGAAAGAAAGAAAGAAAGAAAAAAAGAAAGGAGAGAGAGGCCGGAGTTCACAAAATACAGCACACCACTGCTGCCTTGCAGTGTGCAATCTGTTGGCAAGTGGGAAAAAATTTGTGTGGATTACTCTAAAGTTGATGATTATGCCTCTATTTTAGCTCATATCTTAGTGGTGTGTGTCATATGCCCTCCAGGTAACATGAATATAGGCTGGTTATGGTTGCATTAGTGGAATTAGCTTCTCCTTTACAAAAATGTAGTAACTTGAATAAATAAAAATGAGAAAACTGTTTTGAGCTGTTTAGCTCAAAATAGCAATGTGTCACCTATAGAATGTAGAACCAAATATAGTTCCATAGTGCCATATCTTTGTTACCTGCCATGTCCTTTGATTACATTTCCCCTTACCTTACAGGTACTGTCTTGGTAACACACCCTCGGTGAAAATTCTCTCTTAAAGCTAGATTTGCTAATTAATTTAATTTAGTGCATAAAAGCATTAAATACTTAATTACTGTGTTCTGTGTGGCATCAGATAATGAACGTAGGCCAGCTAAAAATATTCTATTATTTTGGAAAAGCTGTGCTCTTTGCCAAAGCATAGAAACAGTGCTGCAGTCACTGTAGAAATACAGGTTACTAGTTAGAAATGTCTATAAATAAGGGTTCTGTGTGAACAATAAAGCACTTGTGTAAAGAGAAAGGGAAATCAAGAAGGGTGACCACTTCATCACACCACTGAGAAGAAAAATGAGAACACTGCTGTCATGTTGAAATACAGACATAAGAATTAATGGATCAAAGTCTACATATTTAACTATGCCATGTTTAGGAAAGGGAAGGAACATTAATCAGTACAGCGTTACAGGTGAATAGGATTACATAAAAATTTGCATGAAACAGAATGAGCTATTGCATGAGGCAGAAGAGACAAGCTTTTGAAGGTTCTGGGCCATTGCCCAAGACAAAATTACCCAGCAATAGCTGCTATAAGGTAGCCAGCTTTGCACAGGCAAGACCATCATGCCACCAGGGTAACAGAAAAGGAAGATCACAATCCCACATACCGAATACCGGGTCTAATACTGAACTTTCAGGCGTGTAACATAAAAAGCCCAAATTCAAGTGCGAGGCCGTCGAGGCGGGTGAAGAGCAGTTCTTTGGCGCACCCTGTCGGGGAAAAGGGGCACTGCCTCCCTCCTCGCACATGGCTGTCCAAGCCTCCCGGAGACACCATTTGTGGAAAAAAATGTGGGAGAAAAAGTGGAAAACATACTGAGTTTCTCTATTCGTCTGCAGAGTTATGTTCTGTTAGCTCTGTAAGTACATCGTGCATTGTTATAGAAGGGAAACCTCTTGTCATTTCACTGTTAAGTCAGGGGCTAACTCCACCCAAGACAGCTGGAAAATTTAAGCTCCCATTATTTGGAAGCTCCTTTTCCTGTCCTTCAAGAAAAGGGTTGCATTCTGGAAAGCTGCTTTCTGTTATGAATACTCTGATGCAGCACTTATTTCTGGTAAGAACAAAGTAGATGCACATGCTCTCAGAAGGAAAGAGTCACATCTCTAGAAGAACTTGAGAAGCTATAATTTGTATCAGGATTTGAATAGACCTGAACAGTGGGTTTAGGTAATGGATCCTTAGTTCTTCAGGAGAGATGGTTCTGTCTAAATCAGAGGCAAACAGCGCTCCTACTACCAAGGCAAGGTATATTTACACACAACTCACCCATTTTCACCAAACAAGTTATGTCCAATGTGGTCATTTGTATCTTTACTGTGAAATGATGAAGAGGATGAAGAGCTCCAGGATGCATCTGCTGAATGGCATTTGGAACTGAGAAGGCCACAGATTATTCAAGTGCCCCCTGTAAAAGGGTGACCATTTTCATCCATTCAGGCATGGAGTCACGCACACTTTAGCACAATAATTAGATCACTTAGTAAATAAGCTGACAGTAGGGTTTGGACCTAAATATTTTTATGTGCTAGTTTCTGGACATCAAAAGCAGGTACTGCAAGCAGGCTGCCTGATAGCCCAACAGAAGTGAACAAACCACAGTACACAACAAGTGACCAGGAAGGGATGCAGAACCATGAACAAATAGGATGAAGAATTTTAACTGTTTTACCAAGGGCTTTATAGAAATTTGTGTTATGGTAAAATTCTTTATAATGAGGTCATATTACTAGTTTTTCCTCATATTACTATTCTTTCCTTCTATTGTGTGGCAATGCCCTTTGTAATAAACCTCTTACAAATGCCTAGCCTCTCTTCCAAGCCCTATCTTGTCATCTAAGAAAAACTGATGTAAAGAAGGGCGAGGAGAGAAGGCTGGACTGAAGGGTGAGTGAAGGAAACTGAGATTACAGAGGTCTAAGCTAGTTTAGACCTACCACCCAGTAGTCTGCATGAGTTTCACACTGTGCAATGTGAAAGAAAGAACACATTTAGGAAGAGATGGTGAGGAGGTGGAGGCAGAAGAAAAATACAGATGGGTACAAAACTGACAACAACCTGTCAGATCTGAGAGGGAAGTTATAAGGAGTGCATGAGGAGCAAAAGAACTTGACCTTTGTTATTTATCTATTTTAGATGTAGTGGAATTTTCAGATAGGGATTAAAATCACAGAAAGAAAAGAATAGTTGGCTGCATGTGTCCAGGCATCTATATAGGCAGCTTCAAGAGTTCCACTAATGCCTTGTCTATGATGCCTATCAGGCATGAAATCACTGGCTTTGGTTCATGTAGGTTGTATGGTAGAGACACCATCTAATTAGTCCCCAAAAAATCCCAGCTGTAGTAAACAGTTTTGGGTTTGTATCTCAGTAACTCCAGCTTGTCTTCTAATTGGAACAAGAAAAGAAGTTTTTAAAAAGAAAAAGGAAGGAAGCAGTTCAGGCAAGGCAACAAGGCAATGATTATCTTGCATGGCAGTGCTCCTCCCAGACTGCACAGAGGACTGATGAAGGGCAAAAGCCCAGAAACAACATGCAAGTAACTTGGGGGGGGGTGGGGGTGGAGAAAGAGGGGGAGGACAAGAGAACATTTTCTTTGTTTCCCGTACTTGAGAGCTTACTCAATCAGCTTTGCACAACTGCTCTACAAGAGCATATACAGGCAGTGAAGAGACTAATCTCATCAAAAAGATTCTTCTGTTATGTCACTGCAAGGAAAAAAGTAAATGGATATTTAATAGAGCATGAGGTAGTAGTAACTCATGGTGCTACTACTGGTAATGTTCAGTGCCATTCAGAGAAGGGAAAAGAACACAGTGCACCAAATCTTCAGAAACAGCTGAGAGAGTGGGAGTTTAATCAAACCCAAATTCACTAACACTACAGTTCGCCCATGCATGATGGTCTCAGCAGTTTAAGTGCTTTGGGGTGGGGGGAGCATCTGAAGCTATACATAGATGCATGCCTGCAAACGGGTACCACATTACTATTTTACTATCTTTGTAAAAAATAAGAGAATGCTAGGCATAAGTTTAACTGTGATCATTTTTCACTTCCCACAACTGCAAAGCTGCCAAGTCCCTGCCAGATGCCTGAATAAGATTTGTGGATTGCTGGAGGGAGTCTGCACCAAGTGAGTTTGAGATTTTGCTATTTCATAGCTCTCCATTCTCCTTGGACAGCAGATGGTGGCATTATCATGGATGCATCATTTTTTAACAAAGATCTTCTCATGACTTCTCAATATAAAAATCACCAGAGTATCATAACACAGGATACACCTGGTGTATTACCTGTTTTAAGTTTAAAAGGACAACTGAGGCAACTTATGAATGACAAAAGATCTTTTCCATTACAAAGAGAATACACTGAATGAAATTCTGCTATTTTAACTTCTGCAAATTTACATTGTACCAAGACACCAAATCCTGAGGTTTTTTATAAGGATAAAGATTCTTAAATCATCAAATTATGCTACAGTTTTCTTGAATTCATTATGCTTTAAAATTATGGGCCACACAGGAACACTGGGAACTAGTAAAGTGAATGGGGAATATCTTTCTGAGTATATTGAACCATCCTGATCACCAGAAAAACAAATATCTGCAAACCTCCCAAATGGCAGAAAGCACTGGGTTGTTTGAAAATTAAGTTTAGGACTCTGAACCTGAACTATAAAGGTATAAATACAGAAAACACATGCATAAGGCTAAACTACTTATTTTTAGGCAGGCTTTCTGAATTTTACCCAGAGCATTTCCTATTACTCTTAAATGGCCCAAACACTTCCTATTTATTTTTTAAATTGATTTGCTGAAGCTTGTATCCAGTGCCACTATAACAGTGAACTCACTAAATACTCAGCAGAACTATCTGCTGGTGATAGAACAAAAATTGGGAAAGAATGTTGGATAATAGGGGGCAAAGAAGAAGAAGAAGAAGGAGAAGATATTTTAGGGAAATATAAATGTACATGTTACCACTTGGACATTTCTTTCAATATGCTGAATAAAACTGGGATGCACTAGTAATACAAAAGGGTAACTGAAGGATCCTTCAAAGGACACTGTATATCTCATTACTAAAGAAACGATAGAAAAAACTATTTTGACCAAAAGACAAGCTGGACAAGTCACTTTAGGATCTCTGAGTGCAAGTAATCCACTCTCTGCCCGCCCTTAATTTTTATGGGTCAGTTCATACAGATAAGTTTTAGAAAAATTGCTTACACTATTTTCCCTGTTTATACATAGCAGGTACCCTTTCTGTCCCTGTGGTCTTCAGTCTGGCAACAAATGCTAGGAGGAATTTCAGGGATTCCGGATCTCAAAATTGAGGCCTTAATTTTTTTCTGCCTTCTTTCACTGAAAACTTTGCTCTGTCAAACCATCTAATTGCAACGAACGACCTCTGCTACACTGTTCTTTGAGAAAATCAACCTTCTGCCCATTTCTACTACTTGTTCTTCCTCCTCAGAGGAAGGTAGATGTAAACCAAATTTACATCTTGGTAGATGTAAACCATATGATTCAGCATTGAATGGAAATCACTGACCATGTAGCCTTGTTTAATGTTTTGTCTTTTCTATTGCATTTGTAGTAAGCTTGAAAAGCATAAACTTCAAATCAAATATCCAACCGTCTGCAATTAATACCCTAAGATACACACTATTTTACAGCCTAATACTGTAATACTTTGTCCCACAGAATATATGATTATCCATGATACATACCAGCTGTACTTGTAGTCAGACTGTAATGCTAGAAATCTTGAGCTCGATCATGCCTTCCATTTCAGTGATAACTCAACAGCCATGTCCTCGTGGATCCAATACCAAAAAGAAAATCAAGAACTTCTTGCTGAAGAAATGAGAAAGCTGGCTAGAAGATAAGTCAGTAGGGGTATGATCCTCAGGCCACATAGGTAGGGAAGTTCAAGAAATTTTTTTGTAGGAATGAGTCATGAATTCTTCACTAACTGATTCATCCGTAACACAAGAAATTTTAAAGAGGACACATACAGAACAGTCTGTGTTCTTCACGGAAGGCTCAAAACTGGTGGAAAAAAAATAGACACTCCAGAGAACAACTATATTTTTTTAATTAGCGTGCTAATCTTGGACATTATTATGACAATGTTTATTTCACTTTTTCCCTTCTGAGAGCTGAACATAACTCATCACAAAACAGATTGTTTTTTAAAGTAAGAGTAATTGTTGCAGGCTATACTGCCTCAAAATGTTCTAAAACTAGAGATCTGAGTTAATTAGAAAGTTTGTTCATGTCTCATGAAGTACCACTTGTTCTGTGTTGCTTTTGGAAAAGGGAACAGATTTTATGTTTATTTATTTATTTTACATACCTTAGGTAGGTATAATTGATTGTGTTATTTCAAATATGCGCAAAATTACGTGTATAAAATAACAAGGTAATGGGAGGTAGTATTTAAAAAAAAAAAAAAAGCAGAAGTCTTAAATATTGGGCTATGTCATAGTTATTTGTATGTACATTTTGAAAACTGATTGTGTATATTCAACCAATGTCAGAGAGTAGGAAATTATAGTGATGGTGCTAATTTTTATGTGCTTTTTTCATTGTTTAACCAAGCCTGTACAAACCAAATTCCATAAGTCCAGATCAGAATCCTACATAATTTTTTACCTCTTTGCAAACTTTTTGAATGAAAAAGATATACACCAAAAGGGTTGTGGCTGTGTAAATAGCTACAGTCTAGTAGAAAACCCCCCATCAATACCAAAACAGTAAGATGCAGAAACTCGCCTTTTTCTCCCCTTCTTCTGAGCTGAGCTGATCACAGTTCATAATAGAGGAAAGCTAACTACTAAGCCCCTCCTGTGGCATAATCTTATCCTGCCACACATGCTGTGGTCTTGCTCTGTATGGTTACAGAGCAGGGAGCAGCATGTGAAAAGCTTCTGCACCTCCCACGCTGGGATGCCATGTTTAGACAGAGAAAACAAGGAGAAGGTCATCTCCATGCCCCTTGACTACAGAGTCTATAGATTTGCTTGCCCAAACAAGGTGGAGCAGAGCTCCCAGTATTGTTCTCTTCTGTTTACCCATGCACATAGGCCAGGGTTAGGTACATAAGACCACTGAGGAATAAACAGATGAGGAGAGGAAGTAAGCAAAGTATTTTTCCCCAGGGCCATTGTTTTGAGAGGTCAAGAAGGCCTGCCACACAGTGGTACAAGTCTCCCAAAACATAGTCATGAACTCAGTCTTTCTAGAGCTTGTGTGGGAGTGCTTGTGATTGACCCTGGCTGGACAGCAGCTTCCCACCAAAGCTGCTCTATCACTCCCCTCCTCGGCTGGACAGAGCAGAGAAAATATAATAAAAGGCTCATGGGTTGGTATAAGGACAGGGAGAGATCACTCAGCAGTTATCATCATGGTCAAAACAGACTCGACTTGAGGAAAATAGTTTAATTTATTACCAATCTAATCAGGATAATGAGAAAATAAAAAGCAAATATTAAAACACCTTACTCCACCCCTCCCTTTTTCCTGGGCTCTACTTTACTCCCAAATTCTCTACCTCCTCCTCCTCCAGCTCAGGGGGACAGGGAGTGGGGGTTGCAATCAGTTCATCACACGTTGTCTCTGCCACTCACTCGTTCCTCCTCAGGGGAGGGACTCCTCACACTCCTTCCCTGCTCCAAAGTGTGCCCCTTCCACAGAGTGCATTCCCTCAGGAACAGACTGCTCTGGGGTGGGTCCCCTGTGAGGTCACAACTCCTGACAGCACACCTGCTCCAGCATGGGCTCCTCTCTCCTTGGGGCCACAGGTCCTGCCAGGAGCCTGCTCCAGAATGTGCTTCCCACGGGATCACAGCCTCCTTTGGGGCTGCTCCAGCATGGGGTCCTCCATGGGCTGCAGGTGGATCTCTGCTCCACCATGGACCTACATGGGCTGCAGGTGGACAGCTTGTCTCGCCATGGCCTGCACCACGGGCTGCATGGAAATCTCTGCTCCAGCACCTGCAGCACCTTCTCCCCCTCCTTATTCTCTGTCCTTGATGTCTGCAGAGTTGTTTCTCTCACATATTCTCAATCCTCTCTTATCTGGCTGTTATTGTTTCCACCTATACTTTTGTTCCCCTTCTTAACTATGTTATCCCAAAGGCTCTACCACTGGCACTGATGGGCTCAGACTTGGTCAGTGGAGGATCCATCTTGGAGCTGGCATTGGCTCTGTGAGACACAAGAGAAGCTTCTATCAGCTTCACACAGAAGCTACCACTGCAGCCTCCTGCTACCAAAACCTTGCCACAAACCCAGTTACATTGTGGGAACATTTTGCCTCTTGAAAAGAGAACAGTATAAATCCCCGTCAGATTGCTGTGTAAGTCACCATCATGTTACCAAGGACAAAAACATAACCCCGCTTATTAGAGTAGATCCTCTTTTAGTCTAAGTCAGCATTGCTTGAGTCACTCAAGCTTAACTAGCTTATCACCAGGGCATCTGCTGAGTTCCTGTGAAGACAGCCTTTAATATCAGTGAAGTCAGGAACAGATCAGTTCTGGGGAAGGTTATGCTTCCAACATACCAAACTGGAGTTATTTTTTGGGTATTGCTTTTGCTTGGTCCTGAACAAATTCCTTTCCAGTTCTCTAGGATCTTCTGGTCTAGCGGTCCTTTCTTTCCTTAAAAAAAGAGAGTTCAGTAAGTTCAACTCAAAAAGTGGTACGGTAAAGGGAGGATCTGATATTTTTTCAGATCCAAACAGTATGATGCTTATATAGTAAAAATAATCCTAGGATATGTCATACACATTATAATATCTGCCTAAGCTAAAAAGGAATGTAGCAGTAGCTGGAAATAATGATAAATGGGTTGTAATTCCTGAGCTGCTTCCCACTATTGTAAAAGTTGAACTATTTTGATGCTTAGCCTACTCTTTTTCTCTCTTACCTAACCTCACTTACACTTTTAGATTTACTTTTCACAGATGAAAAAACTTGCAGAAATAGAGACTTCTTGTTTGAAGGACTACTTAGTGGTCATGAAGTTACTTCTTGCCAAATTCTCGAATAGTTGCCTCAAAGGTTTCTGTAAGGTAAAATATATTTGGCATGCATAATTGGAAGAGACAATATAAAACACACTTTGCATCTTTTAAATAAACAATTAAAATATTTTTGGTTTACACAAGACTACATAAACAAGTAATAAAGACTTTGCTGGCAGAACTTTCTTGCTGGGTCATTAAAATAATTCTGCTTTCATGCTTCTGCCCTTCCCTGGGAATCATACTTTTTTTTTTTTTTTTAATGACTACTGTTATTCTTGTTACTATTATACTTGCCCCAGCATATTGACGTTAGACATGAATGTCACAGTAAGAAGCTTCTTTTAAACTACTCTTGCGACATCCTGAACAGTGCTTTTTCTAACCTAGCTTACATTTTAAAAGTGCCTTCAAGTTTTTCAGTTCATAATGAAGTTCAAATAGTAAACCACAATACAACACAGATAACTGACAGTCAAGCATAATATCAGAGAATAAGCACACAGTAAAGATTTTTAGTGATTCTAAATTATTTGATGCTTGTATTTCTTCAAAGAAAAGCTTACTTACTGAGCAAACATTCATTCTTTCCTTTGATATGTAAGAAAAAGATGTATATCTGATGGTTCTGCCTTCTGCTGGAATATTACACTTTACAAAAGAGTGAATTTTCCATTAGCATTGTTCTACCAAGATTTTCAACAATAAAAAGATCTGTATCATTAACTCTGACTTGCATCAAACTTAGATTAATTCCAGCAGTGAGGCCTACCACATGCAGTTTGAGAAGAGTTTGGCTGTACATTCCAAAGTCAGGACTACAAAACTCCTTTTCTAACCTTTAGAAATACAGGCTATCTTTGTGGGGGAAGAAGATGCCTGCTGCTTCACTGAAAACCTTCTTAAAGCACCTACGTTCGTATAATAAACAGAGGGAACGAAGAGTTCCGTGTAAAGAAGACCACAGCACATAACCATAGCTACTCGAGAAAGTCACTGCAAATTTGATGTGATTTCCGACCAATTTAGCAGCACACTAATCTGCACAAAACATTTATTTCAGTGAGCATGACAGCAATATTTACCAAAAAATTATTGTCTCAGGAAGGTCTGTAGATTAGCCTAATTAAAATGAATTACCCAACGAAGTTTGATTTTAAGTACAATTTTCTCACGAAGACAAGCCCACTTTCCTGGAGCATTGCCCACATTTATCACACTTGGACATTTTGTTCAGAGCAGACATAACATTTTTGATAATATACAGTATGTAGGACAAAGCTACAGCAGTTTGTCATGGGTGGGCTGATCCTCGCCCACTTGAGTTAGGCAGGTTTTAGAGGACTTGTGAGAACAGCAGAGCTTCTCTCATGATTAATAGGCACGCAGCACTGTTCGATCTCCCAGGAAACGATGCTGTTTGATTTGGGCATGCTGTGATGAAATGGCAGTTGTATCAGCCCTGTCCTTTGTTCCACTGTCTCCTATCAGATGTTTAGGAACCACCACCATTTCTGCTGTTCCCACATGATTATCATCACGTTCTTCCTCACTGCACCACCCAGACCTTCTAGATAAGCAGTAGCCCTGATGTCTTTTTCTCTAAAAGACTAAGTGTTTAAGATTTATGATTCATCAATAGTAAAAGTCTTCAGTTTCTCCTCTAATAATCATCTTGCCAAGTGTCTGTGGTCAGCAATTAGAGATCTAGCTCAGAGAACAGTAGGGAACATGGTATTAAGCAGCCTACCACTATTAGCATTTGGTGGCTTGTTACACAACACATCCACAAGCCTGTTTTACAGACTATAGGAAAGGGCAGGAGCAGGTTCTTTCCCAGCATAACTTCAGTTAGGTCAGCTGGTCACAGGAATGAAGAATTTTTGTGCTGTCCTTCACTTTTGGAAATTGAGGCAGGCATACAGTATAAAACTAATAGCCAATTAAAGAACTGGGTAAATACTTACCTCAGACAAGCAGTAAGAAGTGAATAAAGTCTTCTAGGCATTACCATGAAATAATCTTTATTTGTGTTCATCTTTAATCACCAGACCTGTAAAGGGCAGCAATTTACACAAAGGCATTTAACACATACAGTAGGAAATCTCATATTAGAATTTAGGAACAAAATGGGCACTACTTTACACATTTAAACTGCACAGCTCTTGCTTGCAGCATCACTTAGTGCATGGCTAAGGGTGCCAAAATAAGGTGACCCAAAGACAGAGCAGAACTGTGCTTCATCTGCCACCCCATCTTCCTCAGTAATACAACTGGGTTCATATCTCACAAGCCCACCAAAACACTTATTTAATGGAGAAAAATCCATTTCATACTTTTTTTTTTAATGCAAGCATCTCACTTTATTTATCTCCATCCATGAGCTAAGAAAAAATATTTTAAAATTCGAGTCCTCATTTTTAAATACAGTAATTGCCTTCAGTGTTTATAACATATTAATTACTGGTAAGAGACAGAAATGGGATTTCTTATTTTAATCACTGGATTAGTTCATTAATCACATCTATATTCGATATATTATACAATGCAGAAATAATAATATTCTCCTTCAGGTTCTATTATTTCAACTAATTGCAAAAGGAACCGCCCTTTTTTCCAAACACTCTAATAATACTGAATGTGGACTTTTCCTCTCTTTCTGCTTGTGAAATAGAGATCAAAATAATTATACAAAGGTGTATATTAAATACTCAAACCCAAAACCACTGGAAAAGCATATGATGGTAAGAATATAACAATGCGTTCAAGAAAAAAATATTTTTAAAAAATATATCTTGCCACTTACCCTTCTGTAATTCAAGTTTAAATTGTGCTATATTACAATGCCACATATTGGTCACATTTATTTCTCTGTTAAGAACAGATTTCTAGTCTTTTCTATGCATCAGCATTTATAGAAAACTGCAAGTTTGCTGCAAGATCTGTGGAACTTGCTTTCTTCTTTTGGAAGTCATCTTTCATAACAACGTCAAAGATCTAAAAGAGGGAAGACATTCCTCTATGTTTTCCATATTCCATGAAACATGGTGTTCTCAGTGTTTCAGGATAATAATCCCTATGACTATGGCAACCAAATAATGGCCAGCTTAGCAGAGCACCTCATTGGACTTCAGAGTGACATTATTCATTACTTCACATCACTCTTGAGGGAGTCTTCTCCCTCACAAGAAGTCACAATAAACAACCTCCATTTCTGCTAATACTCAGCCATAGATAGAGAGCACTCAACATTGTACAAAAACAGGACAGTTCAGTTCTGGAGTCAGGTCAATCCTAGCACCTGGAAAGCCTTCCCCAGGTTTGGTTTCTGCAGGATCATTCAATAACCTCTAAAACTTTGCATTCATGATGTCGTTCTGTACCTCTGCCACACATGTAATCAACTCACCTTCTCACGACCGCTACTCCTGCCTCAACTTCCCTCGACTGCGAGTGTTTAGATTTAACAGAAAGTTTCCCTTCCCATCATTTAGGAAGTCTAGAAGCATAGGAGAATGTAGTGGTTTTTCCTTTTAATGCAGCAAGTATGAACCCTACAGGTATACAAAGAAGACCTGGCCTCCTTCCAGATGTCTTTTTTTTTTCCTCTCCTTCAAAACATAATAAGCTCTAGTGCCTTCCATTAAACACTGGAGAAGTAAATCTTTGCCCACTGGTAAAAAAGAAGATTATTATTTGGCTGTTTCAAGACTCATCAGTTCTCATTCTCTGGTTCCCATGGAAACTATCCCCAG